TGGCGCATGCAACACAATATGTAATATCGTCTAGATCACTTCAACTTGGGGTCGTGCTGGAATTAGCTGTAGGTTTTTCGTAAAATTGTGGTACTAAATGATGGACATGGTCGCATTTTGATTAGGAATACAATGTGTCCCATAAATATTGCACCACATTTTGAGCTACAATTCTGTGGGCATTTATAGTTTTCCTTCCAAGGTTTACCTCTTGTGAATAACCACGCCAAATTACGGCTCATTGTTTCGTCTGCCTCGCGACTAGATGCTAATGTTCTTTGGGCGAGGTGCGCCGATCATATCAAATAACGGTGTAGGAGATTAGCGAACAAGGCGACGAAGCACCAATTAGATGCTAAGAAAAAACATTCGTACCACTTGGATACACACCCGAGTTGCGTTCGAAGCAACTGAGAGTCATAATCACAGCAATAGGGGGTCGTATTCAATATCTTAGATTATGTAAATGTATGGCTAAAAATTGCATATAACCTCTTGAAGAAACATACGTTTTGAGAGAAGTTACATTTGATGAAAAGTGGTGCATTAGTTATGAGACACCCTGTTATTAACGTAAGTAACAAAACTCGGTTTCCTTTCACAATATTTGCGCCGATAATCCCAGAGGGGCAGAAATTGGTACAACTTCCCAATTGTCGAAGGCGAGGTTTGGCAAATCTTTTTCCTTGATTTTTTTCAATCTTTCAAAATTTTCCTAGACACGGCTGAAATTTTCCCCATCATTTCTAAACCAGTAGACGAGTTTTGGGCAGTGAAGGTTTTTTGTAGAAAACAAACACATCTAATCGGAAACGTTATACAATTCCGAATAACATTTTATGAACAATTGAAGAGGATGCTTCCTAAACTGGAAGCAAATACAAGAGTTTCAATCACGAAGAAAGAATAACAACAGTAAAGTCAAAAGAAGTCAAAAGCGTGATCAAGCACCGTACAAAAAAGTATCAAATAATGTGTGGTGGATTATTTACGAGAGAGCACTTTTCTTATTAGCGTTAACAAACACAAGAGATGGTGGTAATACAAAAGAACGATTTCTCAGCACGTTGAATTGGTTCCACCGTAATCCACGTAGGCACGGTAGCGCGCAGCTGAGCATTGGGCAAATTGTCGGCAGCAGGGGCACACTTGCTTTTCAAACAAAGCGAACCCAGTGCAGTTCGCCTCTTACAGCGACAACCTTACAACAGCCTCCCCCCAAAACCGCGCAGCGTTCTCGTCTTGACCAGTGCGCATTCCAGAGAAGCGAGGTTCTAACTGTGGCTGCTAAATCGAATTAAACTAAATTGTTTCCCTGCCATACTACACCTTCTACAGATATGGTGCTCCAAACAGTTGGCACCTATTTTCTCGTCTGGAGAGGGGGAAGAAAGATAGTAGGATCCAACGACGAGTCGAGAACGTGAGACATTACACGCCCAACGTGCGTTACTGTGACCCCCATTCAACGTAATGAGAAAGCGGTTAAGAATACAACTTCTGCACCGCCAAACAGTTGCTAATTCGTGCAAGTCCTTTCGTTTCATACACTCAGAAATGCATTTCTCGTTTGCCTAGATGTGAATAAAAGTATACATTTCAGTTGGTCGACCAGTCGCGAATAAAGCCAACAAATCTGCTAATAGCCCTCAAAAAGGCACTCCGTCCCGAAATGGGTAGGCCTCATTCACGGCTCTCACGTGAGACCCGTAAATGAGACCTTCCCATTTCGGGACGGAAGCTTACGGCAAAAATGTGAGGCTGATTGGTCGAGATGGCCCAGCGGTGATAGTGTCGTTGCTCACGATCATTGTGCAGGTCTTTCAGAGATTCCAAGCATTCTCGTTTGCGCTCTCCGCTACTAGTCGACAAAATGCCGTATCCAGACATCCTTAACTTGGAACTAGGATTCCCGGCGATAGCTCGAAATGTGCTCTTAAGGTTTGCGAGTCAGTGAGGCCAATGTTTATCACTGCCACTGCCTCAGCCATAAGCAACTATTGGCTCTGATCTCATGGCCTTTTGTCCATTCATGTGAAATATGTGAAATCATTTTTGATTCTTCCAAAGTGTAGAAGTAGTAGCAAATTATCCAACTTGGGCAACTCTTGTTTGATGAGTGTCCGAAACTTCGTTATTGGTAATCAACTTCTTGCAACGTCCTATGTAAAGATAGTGGTCGAATATGCGACGGTATTCATTGCTGAAAAAGGATATCTTAGTTTATAAGCATTCGCAATTCTGGAATGTACTAAGTTGGAACACAAAATCGCAGCTGAGGACAGTCTAAGCAACTAAGCTATGTCCAGTGTTCTTTATCTTCAGACATTTCTGGTAACTAACCTCACAGCATAATACACGAAGAAATTAGTTGCACACGCAAAATTCACGAAAAGTCCAGCCAATAGATTGATATGAAATCGTTCTATCTTCATGTGTAGGAGGTCGCTAATGCAGACTATAACCATCGTGCTGAACCAGCCAAAGACAACCGTCAGACTTATCACGATTAAGGATCTATAGATGTGTTTCATGCTGTCTTCACCTGAAAACACTAGTTCTTACTTGACCCGCAAAGTCGGCGAAAATCGAATTTACTAGCAATTTCCTGAAAGCCCTCTCCAGCTCACAAATTCTACGATTACTTTAGCACAGTCCCTTTGTCGACAATCGTCGACCAAATGTAATGCCTAAGTTTAGTGTAATGTTGGTTTACGGTAGTGCTTTAGATTTGAAGATATGGCAGATTGTTTTCATGTAAAAGTCAGCGAAGATTCATAAGATTCCAGCGCGATGGATATAAGGGAGCCGCCCACGAGATCGAGGCTTTGGCTCTTGGAGGTTGCTGCCTAGTCAACGTCTTCGAGTTTCGTCCGTTTCATCTACATCGCTACGATTGCGTCCATCGTCGCTGTATTCAACGGAAACTAGTTCATCACTCTATCTACTATTTCATCAATAAAGCTTCGGTTGATTCGTCTGAGGTCACTTGTATTCTACTGGTCGCATTAGCGCTCTTCATTGGGAGTATTCTACCGTGGGACGCCGCGTTACCCTTTCACCAAAGTTAAGAGTGGAGAAAAAAGGCTATGCTCGGAAAAAATCTTGCTTTGGGTTTTCTTTTCAACCGCAGTATATGTAGCGTCTAGGCGCTATAATTTACGAGCGTGCTCTCTCGCGCTTTCCCTTTCACAACAGCCGCGTGTCCCGTCGCAACACGGTCAAGCTCACAAGAAAACATTTTCTTGTGATGCTTTCTGCTTTTCTCCCCGCGAGCGTCTTCGCAACTTTTACTAATTCCCAAACAGACTAACACACCCGATTTGAACGCGGCCAGTGCTTTTAAGTAGGGTAGTGGGCTTACGAGTAGCGTAGTGCTACTTCTGCATTCTGAAGGAAACCCTGGCATCAACCTGGGTCCGCACCTACCTAGATCACGCCAGCAAAAATTTCGCGGTTAGGGCGCTAGTCGTTTGGGGCCTGCAACATAGACTCCTGTTGCAACGCTTCCCACCCACCTCGATTGATGTAGAGATCAGCGTGCTCTCTCGAACGGCGTGATCTCTCGCGTGTTTTGTCTTCTTTGATCGCCCTGTCTCGCCATCGTACCACATCCGACCTTATTGAAGGTTAAGGCCTTAATTTCAGCGTTCCCAAAGATTTCTCTTGCTTTCCTTTCCACTTTCAGGTCGTTCCGCAGCTCAGTCATCACACGAAGCGCTCTTATCACCAGTTTTATCCCGGGGCTGCTTGAAAGTGCGGGACACCGTATTGAGGGCTTTAGACTCCGGGCTCTAGCCTGACAGACTCCTTTCGCCCACAGTGAGAACACGTGAATGTCTGCGTTCCTTCCCCTTACCTTTCAATTTACTGTCGCTTCGAAACATTATCCAGATGCACCAGTGTAGGGAAGAAACCATTCAGAAAATGAAACTTCGACTTACTCATTTGAACTCTCCTAATGAAGCACAAAAATATGGCATAACATATAACGATTGAGATATTGATTACCATAATCGACTGCATAAAAAACTTATAAACACCGCCTTGAAGAGGTTCAGTTATGACACACAAGATGCTCCTATAACAGTTACTTTTGAGGCACACGAACGAGAGAAGCAAAGCAATTCAAAAATCCGGAAAGGGGTTCCAGAAAAAAGTGTCTCTACCATATGATGCGGTAGTTTCCGGAAAAACTCCTGTCATTTTTTAAAGAGAGTTGAGCGGTTCCAGACAAGGCCGAAGGAGTAGACTTTCTATCTATAGGATGCTAAGAAATTCCTCAGCCGTATAACATTTTTTGCATAACATTTTATTCCACAAACAATGGAATTTACTCATTCTTACTCACTACACTGTCCCACCTAACACCTCATGGGCAGGTCAGCGATCCTATTCTCCAGAACTGAGCAGACTGGAGTCAAAGAAATCGCTGACCGCTCTTTCAACGTCTTCAACTTTGGTGAATTTTTTCTTCGCTAGGAATGCCTTAAGGGGATGAAGTAAGTGATAATCAGAGAGGGCAATGTCAGGGGAATAGGGTGGGTGGGGAACCGCGTCCCAGATCAGCTCTTCCAATTTTGCACGGGTCTCTTTAGCTATGTGGGGCCTGGCGTCATCGTGGAGTAGGTGGACAGAAGTTCGTCTCGGTCGTTTTTCTCGAACAGCGTCCGCTAGTTTCTGAGCTGACTGGCGTAAATGCTGCCGGTGACGGTGTGCCCTTACGGGAGCAGCTCATAATACAACATTCCTCGCGAATCATGGAACCAGCAAGAAAAGGACGGGATGAAAGCTATGCTTGGGTGAAGGTCCGATTTTGCTTGTGTCGGCGGGTCTTCTCCTCGAGGGAGCCACACGGCACTGTGCTTGTTAGAATCGTAGAGGACCCAACTCTCATCTCTCGTAATCATGCCTTCCAAAAACTCCTTTCGGTGATGGTTGAAAAGAAGGAACTACTAGCTGACAACAATGGCAACAACACAGCAGAATTAAAGGCTGTGTATCTGGCACAAATATGCAGCGGATCACCCATGTTGACCCAGTCCTCTCACCCTTTTGCACAGCTCAAATCCCAAACCATAAGGATGGAAGCCTTCGTTGACGTGAACAAGTTCACATTCCTGGGAATCAGTGGCTCATGGGAATGTTTATAATTGCGTTAACGAATACGAAATGTCACGGAATCCTGTAGCATCCGGTAATTGTACGAGAATGTGGACTACGAATCGATATAACTCTTCTGATAAGACTACTATCGCTAACTTACTCTTTTCGATATGGAGTAGCTAGTACCCAAATGTCGCCAATTAGTGCAAATATAACTGCTATTGCTGTCTGAACAGCTACGTATAATTTCGCATGTTGTAGAAGTACAAATTTGCTGAAAAATGAAAGAATTTAAGCTAGTGGGCTGTCGATGAAACTAGGTAATAGTTAAAGGGATCTTCTACGGAAAGAGTAATCATTTTATTAGGTTGGAAAGAAAGTCCTGCAACACTTTTTCAAATTTTTGATTTTAATTTTATCTTTTTTGTTTACAACTCCTGACCGGTCATATATCTACCATGAGTGTCCACCACTTGTCTTCAACGCTCAGAAAATTTCTTGATGCTCCTTTGCCAAAACCCAGCGGAGTGCGGGTCGAGAAAGGAGGCGACCTCACTTTCGAGTTGGAGTTGATCGTCTAATTATTTCGTTATCAAGATGATGATAAA